ACCGGCAATTTTCCGGAGAGGTCTGTATGTGTGAACTGGCCCTTTTTGAAAATACCGGTAAATTCGTTCCGGTTATTTTCCCGAATGAGAAGTTGTAACATTACCGGTAATTTGCTGGTGTGCTGAAAATGTTTCTCAATATGTTTTCATCAAAGTTGTTCATAATACTGATCCATCCACAGAGTTCGTAATGTAGTCAAATGTTTACAAATACAAGCGCAGCCGTTTAGAGGTCATTTCTGGTCATTTCTGGTCAGAATTTATCAGTATTTTGGAATGGATGTGTGAACGGTCTTTTCCGGGAAAATTCCATAACGTCCTCGTCTATGTGAACAGCGCTTTCTTGAATTTACCGGTAAAGTCGTTCTGGAAATTTTCCGGATATTTACAAAAGATAGCAAAAGCCAAAGAAATGCGGTACAGGTGAATTGGGTACACTAAATTGTCCGTAGCGTATGAGTGTGTGTGTTTTCCAGAGATGGGTTGCGGCTGGAAGAGCATCCGCTGCGTAAAAACCTGCTGGATAAGTTGGTGGTTCATTCTGCTGTGGCGACGCCGGATTAATAAAGGGACTAAGCCAAAAAGAAAATAGATGAATTGAATTGTGTAATTTAATGATTTTTGAAAAGTATAGGTGTAACAGCAACCTGGTTTTTACATATACACACACAATGTGTGGTCATGTGGCCCACTGATAATCATTTTAAATAATCATGATTACAATCATGACCAAAATAATAGTGCTGTGTTTCCCATATCATTATATAAAGGGGGCGCCCCACCCTCCCAAGGGCTGTACCTGCCCCCCTTAATTAAGTCACATTAATTGGATTATCTATGTAGCGGCAGATCACAACGTTTTTTTATTAAACAAGCTAAATAGCCGTATGTAATATCTTATTTACACAACAGCATGTAATTTCTGTTCTGCGCTCGCATCACTGCAGCTAAAATATTTACAAATGCAGACATCCCAAGTTTCTCGAAAGTTCCGGGAGTCTCCCGCAAATGCATAGAGACCCCAGACGCTTGCAAACGAATACTAATCTCCCGGAAATCGCGCATGTCATATGCTGTGTTGCGAGCGGAGGTATCTCCTCCATCTAGTGCATGGATGTCAAACTCAATTCCTGGAGGGCCGCAGCCCTGCAGAGTTCAGTTCCAACCCTAATTAAACGCACCTGATCAAACTAATTGAGTCCTTCAGGCTTGTTGAAACCTACAGGCAAGTGTGTTGGAGCAGGGTTGGAACTAATCTGTGCAGGGCTGCGGGAATAGAGTTTGACATCCCTGATCTAGTGTCTAGTTATGACTTCTCTCGAAAGCTCTGCGTGTCTTCCGCAAATTCATATTGTGATCCCCCCCAAAATAAACTAAAATACTCAGAAATCATGGCGACAAGAGTGAATAAGCAAGTGAACAGATCGCGAGAGGCACAGTGATGGTCTAAATATTACATTTCACAGGTTAAATGAATAGAGCAGTAAAGATAAAGCGAGTGCAAATCCCCTCTATCTCATTGAGAGATCTGCTGTCAATAGTTGGAGAGAGGCAAAATATTTGACTGGTCCTACACATATTTAGGCCTTTTTACATATAACAACTGAAAGTTCTGTGTTGATAATATTAAAATTCACTTTATTAGATAAAACTTTTATTACATAAATATTTACTAATATAACTACTTGTAATACTCATTGCTATAAGTAGTAGTTTATGGACCTATTTCCTTTTAACAAACAAGTATTAGATTTATAGATGTGCATTTTAACTAAATTTCATCTTTCATCATTTGCAATATTTCCAAATTGCATAGTTTGTCATTTTTCTGTGGTGGTTCATTCTACTTTGGTGACCCCTGATAAATAAGACACTAAGCTCAGTAAAATAAATGGATGAAATATTTTCTGTAGAGCTGCATCTGGTCATGACATGTTCACATCTAAATTTTTATACGAGACATGTTTAATAAATGTCTCAATAAATGGGCCAGACATTTCTGACTTTCCATACCAAGAGGCACAGGAAGTGTTCTTCCAGAAGCCCAAAAAGATACATTATAGTGACAAAAGCTGCACAGTTTGTGAATAAAAAAAGATATAAAATAAAAGTTAATTTATAAATTACAAACGGTTGTACAGTTCAAATAGTTGCTCAGTTATTTACTGCTGTCATTAAAAGACCATGACTCCTTGTGTCAGTGTGAGGCTGAACAGCCATGCTGCATTGGGCCGTGTCACACCACAGCCCCAACCCCCCAAAAACTTAGGGGAAACACTGTAGTGGTTATGATTTTTCCCATAATCAAGCATCCCTAGTTGGCGCTTCTGTCTGACACTGTTCATGTGCATGAGAAAAACACATTCTCCTAAAAGCCGTTGACAGGAAATGGAATTCGCAAGGTAAAAACAGGAGTGGTTTCACTGGAGACATCCAATATCTTGGCACTTTCATCTGATATACCTACCTGTCAGCTAGTATGTAATGCAGCTCAGTGTCCAACTGAATGCAAAAATAGTATATCACTTCACTTTAAAAACGAATAAAGAGCAAAATTTTTGAAGAAATGTGGTGGCTCATAACATGTAACTAATCTAACTGTATCAACAAAGTAGTTTTAGACAGCTACTTAATGTTTATTCTTCCATATTAATAATATTTTTTTCAATTCATGTAGTTATGTTAAAGGCACATTACGTTTTCCTAGGCTGCTTTTTTCAAGCCGTACCTGCAAATACTGAGGCAGTCTTCAAGCCTGAAAAGAAATACTATGTGCTTTACACTATGGCAACCCAGGATGCTGGAATATAATTGGGTAAATTTTCAGTGGGAGGGGTTACACAGACTAAACACCACACTCATCAAGGATAATTAACTGTAGCACTGTTTTTTAAATTAACAAGTATACTTCGTATGTGGGTCATCATATTCTTCTTAAATGTCTGGGTAAAAAAACTAAAAACAACCTTTTTCCGCTTTGAATACGATGGCTGTGTCTGAAATCACATACTTCCAGACTATATAGTACATGAAAAACATATTATATTCATTCATTCATTTTATTTTTGGTTCAGTCCCTTTATTAATCCGGGGTCACCACAGCGAAATTAACCGCCAACTTATCCAGCACGTTTTACGTAGCGGATGCCCTTCCAGCCGCAACCCATCCCTGGGAAACATCTACACATCATCATTCACACTCATACACTACGGACAATTTAGTGTACCCAATTCACCTGTACCAATTTGACAATTGAATTTGACAGAGACACTGACTACATTTACATCAGTAATCAAATTATTTGCCTTAATCTAATTAAGACAATAATATTATTATGGTGTACACGAGTTGCTTTTTGAATGTTCCTTTCATGATCAAGTTTTACATGTTATAGCACATTATTCGATTACCATCATTGCGTCACCATGCTATCCACATTTTCTCCAGAGTTTCATGTCATTTTGAGTTTTTTTAGTTTTCATTTTTCCACTTTAACTGCAGTTTGGTTCTTTCACTTTCATTCAGGAACATTTCATGCATGCACCCGTGACAAACAAGATATTGGATGCAACTATGAATTGTTGGATGTGTGTTGTTTTAATGGAATTTCATACCGCTCGCTGAATGGAAAAAAAAAACTTTGCATTTCACAGTGCATGTGTCTGTGGTCCTTAACTGACTCTAGGTGCAAAGAATAGTGTCAAACAGCCGTGTGTGTGTGTGTGTGGACTATCCAGTCGCAAAACGCAGCAAAAAGTCCTACATGATGGTAATAGTTTAATTAAGCTGTTTACATGTCTGTTCTGCACTTCAATAATGAAGTATCGACATACTCCACATGTCTTAATTCGATTTCTCTTTAGTTCAATTATAATCTTAATCGGATTAAATTAATCAAAAATCACTCCTAACCAGAGTATTGTCTTAATCGTATAAAAATCTGATTATTGGTGTCCATGTTAACAAACTCATTATTGAGTATGTTTACAGTACTGTAAAATACTTCCTTACACAAAAAAAATGTAAAAACTGCTCGCTTTTCTAGTGAAAACTTCATTTTTTCATGGCAAGGTTGACATTTGCATGGAATTGCTCATTTAATATTGTTTATGTACACAAGTGGAGTCACATTTGTGCATTTTCTCCAGTCAAGCCCATTCCAAAGATTTGACTGCGTACAGGACTACGTACAATGTGAACCATTATTATGACACTTTTACTTTTTGTCATCATAAAGCCATTCTCTATTCACTATGAAAATGTTAGAAGCAAGAACAGCCAATAGAAATCTGGTTTGAAACAGCATGATAGTTACAATTCTCCTTATTTGGGGAAGCGTGTCTTTAAAGTCTGCACTTTAGCAGGAGGAAGTGACCTTTGGATTTCAACCTTTATAAATGCAACTCATTAATATTAATAAAGGCAAAAACACAGAGAGACCTTTCTGCTATGATTTGAATAACCGTCTTTTTAACATGGGATTTTTTTTTCTTTTTAAATACCATGACAGGTTGGGTCACAAATGACTCTGGTGGTGTTTATTAGTAAATAAGTTTACTATTTCCTTTTAAAAAGGGTATTATTATGGGTCAACTATGTACAGGCCAGACCTACATTCAGATGTTGTTATTAAACATTCAAGAAACCATGACAACATAATCCAAAATGATGCTGATGGGGAACAGAACGGATGGTCCAAAAAAAGACAATGCATCTCAAAATGGCATTAGTCCATTTCGCCTTCTCGCACCCAGTGCATTCTGGGAACAAACCCTTTGCATCTTGAGCATATGCTTTATTTAAGATGATTAACAAAACATGAAGGACACGTTTTTGTCTCATGCAGCAGCTTCAAGTGGCTCTTATTTAGACAGCTGTAAAACAGACCCATCGCATTCAGATTCGCAAACACAATGCGTCCATTATGAGACGTCCAAGTAGATACTAAAAATATGGTTAATATCACGCAGTTACATTAGCGAAAACAAAAACACATTACCTATAGGTGTTCTGCAGATGATGGTGTCCAAATGCCTTGAAGTTGTAGATGTTTTAAGATCGTCCACTTAGTCCATGTGTGGGTCAAACCCACCAGAATGCATCAACACGAGATACAGACGTGATCATTCACACATTCGGCGTCAAATAGATCTTCCAACGAGCTTTCCTTTAACATCAACCCAGACAAAAGATGTTCGGTTCGTCCGTGCATACAAATATACCCGCAAAAAACCGTTAAAGACAGCGGCGGTTATATATACGCCTCACATACAAAACACACAGCGCGGGAAAGAAAACAAACGGTTCAGCCCCCCAAAAAAACGCAACTGTTGCAGCTTATTACTGACCAGGGAAGTCGATAAATGCTACGCCGCCTAAAGCGAGCAGTTTTTAAGCTTTACGGAAGCGCAGCACACCCTAGGGCTCCAGCTGTCTTTTACACACACACATTCACAGGCCCTTGAAAAGGAAACGCACTTCTTCAGACAGCCCCGTTTGTTGTGCGCATGCGTCGTAATGCTACGAATTCTACTACTGCGAGGGCATATGGCTTCTCAATATTAAATATGTGAGGCTAAAGAAAATTTTCCGAAAACAAGAGTAAAGCAGGATTAATGACAAATGTTACTGTGAATATGTCAATATTAACGAGGTTTACAAAATAGACACTGAGCAATGTTAGCATTGACTGCTTAACATTCATAAGATAGTCCCTTACCGTGGTAGGATTCATAAGTTTGCAGCAGGAGCGACAGCAAGCGTTTTTAAAGAGAATTGCAACAATAAAGCCATTCAAATGTAATATATAAAGCAAGGGTGCCCAAACTTTTTCTTACGAAAGGCCAAAATCTAAACATGATTGAGGGTGGTGGACTGAAGCCAAACATATCAAACTGCTTTACATTAAAGTTGTCATGGTAACTCCCTAATTTAATAATATAAAAAAACTATAATCGTATGAATACTTGTATATGTATTTTAAATTTTGTAAGGTACTTCTTACAATAAAACCATAAACAATTTTATTTATAACATAAAAATCGTTCAACATTTAAAAAAAAAAATGTGTATAAGGATTTCATTGCCCTGGTAAAATCTGATTCATTCACATTCAAAGTTTTGCTTTTTTGTAGCTCTGCAATTAAACCAACAAACAAAAGATTATGTAAAATTAGAACTGACGACCTCTTGCCCCAACCTTCCCCATCATTTGTCCATGTCTTCTATGAATCAAAGATTATCATGGGCCAATTTTGGCCCGCGGGCCCTAGTTTGGGCATCTCTGATTTAAAGAAACTCTTAGACCAGAATTTTAATGTGAATTTGTAAATGCAAGAGGTAGGTGACTCTTTTTCTATCCAGTAGAAAAATTAGGAACATTTTTAGCTGAGAATGCAAGTCACAAGCTTCTGACATTTTGATATGGAGCCAGATGAGTCTCAAAAATAGTAAATTTGCAATATATTATTCATACATCCACAACACAAGAAACATTTACAAAATCCAATTGGTAACTTTAAAAACACAATTCGAAAGTTCAAAACACAATTTGTAATTACACAAATCCTGTTCGTAATTTCAAAACACGATTCATAAATACAAAAATCTAATTCATAAATTTGAAACAGGATTTAAAGCTGCAAAAATCCAATTAGTAAATTCAAAACACGATTCATAAATACAAAATTCCAGTTTGGAATTCATAACAGGATTTGAAAATGCACAAATACAATTTAAAAGCTCAAAAAAAATCGTAAATGCACAAATCCAATTCGTAAATTCAAAACACGATTCGTAAATGCACAAATTCAATAAGAAAGATTTAAAAAATGATTCCTGAATACACAAATCCATTTTAAAAGTTCAAAACATGATTTGTAAATACACAAATCCAATTCAAAAGTTCAAAACACAATTTATAAATACACAAATCCAATTCATAAATTTTAAGCATGATTTAAAAATGTATAAATCCAATTAGTAAATTCAAAACACGATTCATAAAAACACAAATCCAATTCGAAAGTTCAAAACACTATTTATAAATAAACAAACCCAATTCATAAATTTAAAATACAATTTAAAAGTGCCAAATCCAATTAGTAAATTCAAAACACGATTCATAAGTACAGAAATCCAATTTGTAAATTCAAATCAGGAGTCGTAAATGCACAAATCCAATTCTAAAATTCAAAACAATTCGTAATTACACTAATCCAATTTGTAATTTTAAAACATGATTCATAAATACAAAAATCAATTTCATAAATTCAAAACACGATTCATAATATACACACAAATCCAATTCATTAGGTGAAAATATTTATGATTTTTACTTGTGAATTCACAAATCGTATGTTGTATTTATGAATTATGCTTTGAATTTACAAATTGGATTTTGTAAATGTGATTGACCTTTGCATGTATGAGTATTATTTCTAAAAATGTATTATTTTTGAGACTGATTTGGCCCCATATTTTGATAATTAAAAACCCTATAAACAACACAAAAATAATATCCATGGCTCTTAAATCACAATGAGGTTAAATTATTTAATTACAAATTTTGCCTCATAAAACCTTAATGTATTGTCAGGAGCCAGCCCTTTATTTTATTCTTTTTAAACTGAAAGTACTCATAGCCCTTGATTTTATGAGACACCGCAACACATATTAAGAAAAAATACTCAGGTGAAGACAGACAAAAAGAGTTTGTCAGTATTGTAATATTTATGATCCTTTTATTAAAAGAAAAAAAAAAAAGACAAGAACAACATTCACAGCCATATTTCCATTCTCTTTATTTATTCAGTCCTTGCATTTCAAGGTTGACAAAGTTGAGCATGTAAGGTTTCCAGTGATATCAGAACTATTCTGAACAGATATGTTGTTAATTTATAATTAATGGTAACAAGTTTGTTGCCTGAACAAATTCACAAAATTGCATCTTCCCTTTTACAACAGGTGCAGAGATAAATGATAAAGTTATGCAACGCTAACAACCTTTATCTCATGCTTCTGTGAAGAAAAAGCTACGAGAATGGAAATGAACCAAAAATATGCTTCTTTTTTTTTTTTTTCAAAGATACTGAACAAAACCTCCTGGAACCTTCAGTGATGTCATTGTGACAAATATTGAGGAGCCACGCAAATGAACATCAACAACACTTCTTCAATTGCTCAAGACAGTTTGGTCATAGATTTTAGAAGCAAACTCCTATAGAGGAATGATTTATCTCAAACTGCATTTTAACATCTAAGTATATGCAGTGCTGAGGTATGAAACAATATTCAACTGAATATTACGACTGGGCTCTGCAGTTATTATTAATTAAAGCCGAATGGTTTTTTTTTTTTTTCTGCAAACCAGTAATACAGCAGTAATATTTCTAATCTCAAGTAACAAGTGGATTTTGGCAACATTTTTAAACTCTTATAGAGCTGGATTTGCTGAATAATTAGACACGCATGTACTCGTCCACTATAAAATGGATTTCACTATTCGGTGTTCTCAAAACATGGAACAATGGAATTTCATTAGCATCATTAATTATCGTTCATTAATTTCCTTTCCCATTTAGTCTTGGTTTTTAAGCTCAAAATGTATTTCAGTGAACCAAACGGCTCTCCAACAGCCATCAAAGGCTGTACCAGTGAACTTAGACAAACATCAACAGAAAAAAAAGAACAATTCACATTGAGCTTTTTGTTCCCCCCGCATCACTAAGAATAGCTGATGTATAAGGTCTGTTGGTTTCTAGTTTCTCCAAACACTTAAGACAAGAAATTTTAGACACCTGAAGAGGTCAACTTTAGTGACGTCACCCCTAGATTGTACATAGCTTAACCCAAAGTTTTTTTTTTAAAGTATAAGAAATAAACATACAATGACCAAGAGAACATGACAAAGATCATACAACAGAAAAAAAGAGAAGTTTGGGAGATGTCACAATAAAGGTTTACCAAAAAGATATTTAGAAAAAAAGCAAATGAATCTGATGAAAGCAGTACCTTATTTCCTGGTTTCAGCTGTAAAACATTTCAAAGTTTATTTCTATCACATTGATTTATTTCTATCATATCAATCTTTTATAGATGACTTTTGTCTTGTAAGTGCCTCTCATATTAAGTTTGAAGGAGTGAATAAAGTTGCCTTTATCAGTGCTCCCTGAAAAACTCTTCATACGTTACCCAAAAGTACTTGGGCTCACTGAATTATGGGTTTGTGCGCACAATATTATGACGTGTAATAAAATCACGCATTAATTTCAGTAAGCAGGTTTACTGCAACACATGAAGCATCTCTCCTAATAAAAGATCCTTGTTTGGTATAACCAAACAAACAACGTTGGCTCAATCGGAAACCCTAAAACTGGATTCCGTGAGTTATTTCTTTTCTGAACACCGAAAACAAACATAAATGAGGTGAAGTATAGCATTAATAATTAGAATTGGAAAATTGGTGGTGTTGGCCAATAACTGCTTACAATGCTCAGTACTGGTCCAAATGTCAACCAAACTAAGTTTTTAGTATGTTAGCTCAATCTGAATCCCTAAAACTAGATATCGTAGGTGATTTTTTTCTGACCACAAAAAAACGGAAACAAACATAAATGAGGTGAAGCATAGCGATAATAGTTTAAATGGATAAACTGGTGGCATTGGCCTGTAACTGCTTAAAATAAACAGAACTGGTCCATGGTCAATAAACAAAGTTTTCAGTACGCTGACTCAATCTGAAACCCTAAAACTGGATTTTGTAGGTAACTTTTTTTCAGACCACCGAAAATGGAAGCAAACATAAATGATGTGAGGCATAGTAATAATAATTAGAATAGGACAATTGGTGGAATTGGCCAATATATCTGCTTACAATGCTCAGTACTAGTCCAATGTCAACCAAACTAAGTAAACTGGATTTCAAAGGTAATTGTTTTTCTGACCACCAAAATTGAAAACAAACATGAATTAGGTGAAGCATAGCAATATTATTTAGAATTGGAAAATTGGTGGTATTGGCCAATAACTTCTTAAAATGCTCAGTACTAGTCCAATGTCAACCAAACTAAGTTTTCAGTACGCTGACTCACCTACGAAATCTATTTTTAGGTTTTTAGATGATTTCTTTCTGACCACCCAAAACGAAAACAAACGTAAGCGAGAAAAAGCATAGCAATAATAATTAGAATAGGAAAACTGGTGGTATTGGCCAATGACTGCTTAAAATGTTCAGTACTGGCCCAAATCTCAACCAAACTAAGTTTTCAATTTGCCGACTCAATCTGAAACCCTAAAACTGGATTTCGAAGGTAATTTTTCTTCTGACCACCAAAAATGAAAACAAACGTAAATGAGGTGAAGCATAGCAATGATAATTAGAAAAGGGAAGTTGGTGGTATTGGCCAATAACTGCTTACAATGCTTAGTACTGGTCCAATGTCAACCAACCCAAGTTTAGTACGCTGACTCGATCTGAAACCCTAAAACTGGATTTTATAGGTAATTTTTTTTTCTGACCAGCAAAAATGAAAACAAACATAAATGAGGTGCATGGCAATATTATTTAGAATTGGAAAATTGATGGTATTGGCCAATAACTGCTTACAATTGTCAGTACTGATCCAATGTCAAGCAAACTAAGTTTTGACAATGCTGACTCAATCTGAAGCCCCAAAACTGGATTTTGTAGGTAACTTGAAATGAGGTGAAACATAGCAATAATAATTAGAATAGGAAAATTAGTGGAATTGGCCAATATAACTGCTTAAAATGCTCAGTACTGGTCCAAAGTCAACCAAACTTAGTTTTCAGTATACTGACTTAATTTGAAACCCTAAAACTGGATTTCATAGGTAATTTTTTTCTGGCCACCAAAAATGAAAACAAACATAAATGAGGTGAAGCATAGCAAACTAATTAGAATAGAAAAATTGGTGGTATTGGCCAGTAACCTCTTACAATTCTCAGTGCTGATCCAATGTCAAGCAAACTAAGTTTTCAGTACACTTCCTGCTTCCTATTCAAGTGTGCAATGTTTTTATCACTGATAAGAAGCCAGTCAATCTGTCATATTTACAGCACACCAGGCTTGGTCAACAAACCAAACAACACTTTGTATGAATAAACTTACTGCCTCAATCTCAGTTTGAGGTGAAAATGACGTTGATCAATCTGGCACGAAATGAAAAAATAAAAATAGAAGGGGAAAAGGCAACCCCCTCATCTAATGCACATTTTTCTATGAAAACAAATTTGGATTCAAATCAGAATTTAAACTAAAAGCAGGTTCTTCTATTTGAGATGCTAAAAGTATGATTTGAACATTAAGCCAGATGTTTACACTGCAATGAATGGGGTATGAAAGTTTTGTTATCTAAAAAGATCAGTATTGTGTATTAAAACGGCCATTAATGCAAGCAGATGTTAAGTATACTAATGTCGGTTCTGCTTTTAACTTATCAGATTTGTCACAAGAGCTGGTATTTTCCATCACTTCCCTTTAATGGGAATCATCACTGAAGTATAGAAAAAAAGACTGAGAAGTTCCAGTTCAGCGGCAACATTCAAACCAGCATGGGTTCATTCTTAAAATCTTTAAGGCAGGTTCAGTGAGCCGTGAAGTCAGCGGCTTATTCGGAGTGCAGGGGGATGACGAATTTACATCCGAAGGGGGAGTGATATTTGATTCCCACTTCCTGGAACACCTGTCGGGGGATGCCGATGTCGCATAGGTAGACTCGGCCAGCGCCTTCTGATAGGGGAAGGGGGAGGCCCAGGGAAAGCGACCATTTGGCTTCCACTGCATGTGCTTGTCCGCTTACTGGAGGGTCAATGCTCAGGACGGGGGCTCGATTTTGGTTAGCCCAGTCAGCAGCAGCCTTGTACCATGGCTGGTCTCTCAAGAATCCGTTTTCGTGGGAGTCCAGGCAGTTTATTACCAGGTCAACTGGCGTCTCGGGCAAGTCTGTGGGTTAAATGACATTTGTTTTAAATGAGTAGGTGATCAGACCAATGGTTTAAAGGGGACATACGATGCTGCTAAAATGAACATTATTTATTGTATTTGGTGCAACGTAATGTGTTTATATAGTTAATTATGTTCACGGCTGTTTTTGCACCATTGAATTCCATTATAACCACATTTTTTGATTGCAAAGGCATAACATTAAATAATCATGCATTCCTGATTGTTGGTGGTTTTTCCTGTTGGGAATTTTCACTGTTCATTTTTACTGTCGATCATCAGTTGGCACCATAGGCCTTAGCAAAAAAGTTTTCAACCTTTAAATTAAGCAAAACAACAGATTATAACGTGCGTGCATAAACACGCATACTATGTTTACGATGTTCTGAGATTGAGCTGCTTATTTTTTAGTTTCTTAAACATTTCCTCAAATACAGCTTATTTTTTTATCTTCTCAAACCAAAGAGGGTGCTTAAATGTCTCTCTCACACACACACACGCACACACACACACACACACACACACACACACACACACACACACACACACACACACACACACACACACACACACACACACACTATATTAATAATTTTAAGCCAGAAGTAAAGTTTTTTTTTGCACTGCAACTAATGATCAAGAGTTAAAAAATAATCCTTCAACACGTAAAACCAGCAACAACCAAGAATGCATAATTACATTTTGTCATGGCTTTGCAATCAAAAAAGTCATTATAATAGAAGTCAATGGAGCAAAAACAGCCACAAACAAACAAAAGGTTGCTTAATTGAGTGTATTGTTGATTTTTCGAAAATGTTCAAAGCATTGCATCATATGACCCCTTTTAAAGAGATAGTTGACCCCCCAAAAAAATTTAATTAGGAGTAATTTCACACTTGGGAGGTTTAGTTTGATTAAACTTAATCTGTTGCGATTGATATGTTAGTGCCTTTCACATGAATTAGTTTGAACGCTGGCAGTGCAAATCAAGTGTGCAACAAACATCTAAGTGAGGACAATGAAAAGATAGGTCTCAGTCCACTTCCAAACCAACTCTGTTGAATTTTGAGTGATATAGGAACACAAAACATAAAATAAAAATTGGACATGATGCTTCAAGATCAAATACTAAGACACAGATGCTTTTTGTCCTCATATAGCAGGGAAAATAACTATTGAACACATTTTTCTCAGAAAACATATTTCTAAAGGTGCAGTTACTTTTACTGAAACCTGAAAATTTCCCCTCATGTTGATGACAACCAAAATAAAAATCCATATGTGCAAAGAAAACAAATCTAAATAGTTTACAAACCAAGTTAGGTGCAATAAAATGAAATCACACAAGGAAAAAACATTGAACTCATGAAGAAAGGGAGGTGTAGAAAGGCAGTGAAAGCCCAGACAGCAGCTGAAATCTTTTAATAGTTATTCAGTAGTTGTTTCTACACAACTACTTTTTCAGATTTTGTTATTTTGATGTTTGTACTGTTTGGGTTTTCACTAAAACCTGGTTCAATTGCATGTCAAAAGCTCCTTTAAAAATTTTATTCCCAGAAAAAAAACATATTTCTTTGTTTCCCGGCTGTATTGCACAGTCTTGACACATTTACACGATTGTAACTTCTTTTGAAATATTTTTCAATTTATTTTTTAAATATTTCCCAAATTATGTTTAACAGAGAAAGGAAATTTTCTATGTCTGATAATATTTTTTCTTCTGGAGAAAGTCTTATTTGTGTTATTTTGGCTAGAATAAACGAGGTTTTTAATTATTTAAACACCATTTTAAGGTTAAAATTATTAGCCTTTATAAGCTTTTTTCGATAACCGACAGAACAAACCAGTGTTATACAATAACTTGCCTAATTACCCTAACCTGCCTAGTTAAGCCTTTTAATGTGACTTTAAGCTGTATAGAAGCGTCTTGAAAAATATCTAGTCACATTTACTGTCATCATGGCAAAGATAAAATCAGTTATTAGAAATGAGTTATTAAAATGATTATGTCTAGAAATGTGTTGAAAAAAATGTCTCTCCTTTAAACAGAAATTAGGGAAACTCAACACTCATTAGTCCGTATAATAGCAGTGAAATACCTGGATGATGCACTTATTCAATGGTTAAAATTAAATGTGACACTTCACGCTCTCAACCGCTGCTGCTTTGCTCACGTAGCGGAAGGGACAGAGCTTTCAGCCTCTGATGTTGGGTTTCTGTATTTATTTAGGATTGTAAAAGCTAAATTCTCCTATGAGAGCGATTATACTGCCTTCCGATGGTGAATGCGGTTATACTCATGGCAGGTATTATTTGGTAGTTTGGGCGTTTATTTTACTAATTTCGCAACCAACAAATGTCATCAGGGAAACGGTTTGAAATTCTGCTTAGTAAAAAAAAAACTTTCCATTTGGGAGGATATTACACACATGTACTATGCTGTTGAGTGTGTGAGTGCATAAGTACATAGTGAATAAGAGCACAGTGTATAGTGTGCCATTTGGGACGCAGCTGTAGTGTAGTTTTGTCACCAGTTTTAGTCAAGTTAAACATCTCTAAACTAGAGCTCTTTTCCCACTAATAGTCTACTAAAAGGTTGTTTTAGTCAACACTATCATGAAACCCCCACTAGAAATGTGTGACTTGTCACTTCAAACATTTCTGAGATGCTTTTTTGTTGTTAAAGTTCACATGAACTGGAAGCTGCAACCGTTATTTTTTCCATATTATGATGCAGTTACTAAAGAAACGGAATATTAAATGACACAACAGTGGGCGTGGCTTGTTTTTCTACTGTGAGCTGAATGGATGTGTTAAAGTAGGCATTTCATTCAAAAAGATCAGGAAAAGTGTTTGGGGAGAGTTATTACTACATAACAGACACGTCCTCTTCACCAAGATACAAGTAATCTGACAATTTTACCAAAAAAAAAAAACAGTGAATTTTTAGATTTCAATTAAAGATTAAAAGGGCAAACTATTGTTTTTTTAATGACATGCACAGATAAACAAAATCATATGGTTAGTTTGGATTTTTTGGGGACTTAATGTTGGTTAATGAGGCGTCTTTAAGCTGCCATCAATAAAAATGCCTTTTGTAGAAAAGTATTAAATATGTTTCAGTAGTTCAGCACTTTCTCCTCTTGTCATTTCATTGTTATTGCACATCTACTTTTTCAGATTTTTTTTATTTTGATGTTTGTACTGTTTGGGATTTCACCAAAATCTGGTTCAATTGCATGTTAACAGCTCCTTTAGAAATTTTATTCCCAGCCAAAAACCAATTATTTTCCCAGCTGTATTGCAGTTACATCTGTAACTTATAAAAAAAAAATTGGAAAAATAAATAAAAACAGCTTTTTATATTATATTATATTATATTATATCCCCACTAGAAATGTGTGACTTTTCACTAACATTTCTGAGATGCTTTAAAGCTTAAGGTTGTTTGATGTTTATAGCCATTATAAGGAAGAGCACAAGAAGGACATTTTCTTGAATTCACAAAAAAAAAAGAAGAGCATGCAACATATAAGCACAAAGCCAGGGTGAGTAAGTGATGACTTAATCTACCAGTGTGTTTCTCTGTTTAAAGTTAACCCAAAACTGGAAGATATTTATGTAAGGTGGGTGGCTGAGTTCAAAGTATATACGTTTTTGCAAATCAGAGTGGAAGTTTCCAAGACTTCCTAGCCCACCTAAACAAAGCCTTCAGGTGGGTGTGTTAGGAACACATGCGAGATACAAACCCATGATAACGGTCTTTTTAAATTAAGAAGTGTCTTGATGGAAACATGCATTTACACTGCATGGTTCAAATGACAAAATTTTTGGTCCCATGTCCCATCTAACTATAAGTGGTCATATCATTTAGTTTAAAAATTCCAGAGTTTTTTTTTTGTTTATTTAGGGGATCGAAACAGCGTTTCAAAAAAAACGTAACGCAAAATTTCTAGTGGTTCATGGTGATTACGTAACAGCAGGGTGTGCTGTGTAATGTAACAAACTGTTGGTTAATAGTAAGAACTGAAATTAATTCTAATTGTAATTTCTTTGAATTTAATCTTTAAAATACTATATAAAGTGCTACATTTATAAATAAATGTAATGTGACTTTAGTTGACAGCAGTGCCAAAGCTTGTGCAAACACAAAGAGTTGAAGAATTATTAGCCCACCCTTTTAATTTATTTTTTATTTTTTGCTGTATAGAAGTGTCTTAAAAATATCTAGTCAAATATTATTTACAGTCATCAAGGCAAAGATAAAAGAAATCAGCTATTAGAAATGAGTTATTAAAACTATTATGTTTAAAAATGTGTTGAAAATACCTGCTCTCTGTTAAACAGAAATTGGGGGAAAAAATAAACAGGGGGGGGCTAATACTTCTGACTTCAACCTTACATAGATAACTTGTTTTCTTACAATAGTGGTCAAAAGTTTGGGTTCAGTATGATTTTTAAATGTTTGAAATAAGCTTCTCCTGCTCACCAAAGCTGCATTTCATCAATTTATTTAATCAAAAATATAGTACAAATTGTAAAATAATAAAATAACTGTTCCTTATGGTGCTCCGGTTTCCCCCACACTTTAAAGACATGTCAAAGATACAGGTGAATTAGGTAGGCTAAATTGCCTGTAATGTATGAGTGTGAATGCGAGTGTATGGATGTTTCTCAGAGATGGGTTGCAGCTTTAAGGGCATCCACTGCGTAAAACATGTGCTGGATAAGTTGGCGGTTCATTCCGATGTGGCGATCCTGGATAAATAAAGGGACTAAGCCGAAAAGAAAATGAATAAATTTATTCCAGTGATTTTAAAGATGAATGTTCACCTTCATTACTCTATTGTTCAGAGTCACACGATCCTTCAGAAATCACTGTAATATTAATTAGCATTATTACCATTATTACCATTATTATTATTATTATTATTATTATTAATGTTAATAGTAATAAAAGCAATAATGACTGGAGTATTAATTTCATTTAAAACTACATACAAGAAAGCAGTTTTTAAATTTTTTTACAAACATTTTACAATTTGACAATTGTTTTTATACGTAATAAATGCTGCCTTGGTGAACAGAATTATTTTATAAAAAAAAAAAAAAAAAAAAAACATGAAATAATTAAAAACAAAAATGCCCCCAAACTTTTGACTTGTAGTGTACCTCCCATCATTTGTCTTTATTCTCTTAAGAAAAACAAAATATGCATCACATGTTTACATAACAATCTAATAGCTGCTCTTGGTAATGTGAAAGGCATTAGAAATGCATAATTTTTAAAAAATATAAAATGGGGAAAAAAAGCCAATTACAATCCTTAGTAAAATGAAATATACTGTTGTGCCATGACCATATTACTCTGTCATTATAGGATACTTAGGTGCCTTTTACACTGGTGCATTTTGGTTTAAAATGTATAGGCTTTGTTATGGTTACACCAAGCATCTACACTAGATGGACTGAAATGCAAACTTTTGAATACAGAGGCGCAGCTATCCACAATCACTCCCTGACTGGTTCTCTTGCCTTGTGTATCGTTCTCCGATTCATCACGCTCCTCTCATATGACCAATACAAAACAAGCAAGGATGTCGGTGAACTATTTGCATGCTCAGTGAGTGTGAATGGTTACAAATCATGTACTTTATGCTGTAAAGTGTGGAGGGATACTAAAACATAGTAGAAAAGACGATATGGATGAAGAGTTTAAAGCTGTTTTAAAATGAAAATACAACAGTGTAAATGCAGCCTCGCTAACCCTAATGTTTTGAACATCACGATAAATTTTCTAAAATGTTTCTGACATTTAACCATCTAAAACTTATTTTATATATCAGTACTTTTCAAATAATGTAGCTATTAAATGCAGTTGCATAAGTGTCACACCTTTCACATTAGAAACCAGTCTGCCTCCCGTCTTTCCGAATAGTGCTAGTTCACTGGTGATGGCCTCCAACATCTTGACAAAATTTGGCAGGAAAAGGACGACCTCTACTTCATGGTTGGCCAAGTGACGTCCACAGCTGATTCCCTGAGCTCCCTGGACATGAGGGCCACACAGCAGGGCTACCGTGGGTCGTTGATGCACATTCTTTGGGGTAAGTCTAAGAGAAGAACCAGACTGATGAAAACCAGAGCATACATATGGGTCAATCTGTGTCATCTTAAACACAGGTTATTGACCACATTTATTTATTTATGTTTAATGCCATATCAGCAGCATTGGCAAAACCTATACTAAATATACAAGACATGCGTGCAATCATATTGCTTTCTAAATAAACATTTATTGTACAAAAACATACAAATGACAACAACACTGAAAACAGTCATATACATTCAGTTTCATTAATGATAAGTATTCTAAAATTCTGCCAGAAGACACCTTTTTAAACATTTCCCTTAAGATATACCCTGAATAAAATTGCTATCTAAAATCATTTAAAAATACACATTCTATTAAAATATGAGCAAATTTATCATCAAAATATTCTTACAGTTTTTTTTCTCCTTCAATAAATATAAGTGTAAGTCTTGAATGACCAGTTCTACATATGTACAACTCATATATATACAAACAAATATATATACAAAACCTGATCATGTCTATTTTCAAAATGGTAATTATTTTGTTCATTTACAAATAGATTAACTTCGTATAAATTTTTAATTCTACTATCATCCCATTCCATTTGCCATTTCTCATTAATATTCAGATTCAATGCAGGTTTAACAGGAATTTTACATTTTGTTATCTCCAACTGCAGGGCTTCCTTAGCTGCTTGTAAAGTTGGGTGTATCTCAATAAAGAGTAACACGTTACTGTATTCTAACTACGTTTTTTGGGAATGCAGTAATGTAACGCATTAGATTTTAAATCTGTGTAATTACAGTTACTAAAGTCGATGTAATTGCGTTTCAAATACAGTTTTTAGAAGAAAAAAATGCTTATTTTAAATCCCGTTTTCTGCTGCAACGTCGGATAATAAGCAAGTGCTTTTAAACTGCTCTAGAACACAAGCTAAACCAGCTGTTGAGGAGGATGGTTGCTTCCTCAAGTGGAAATACAGACATTATATTGGTTTCATTGAGTGTAAAAAAAAACAATGAAATGAAGTCTATGTCCAGCCTCTAAAGAACATTCAACTGCTTTTTTTCTCGACCAGCAACTTGTTCAAGCACTTGAATGGAAAGCATTCTAGGACAATATTAGTCACCAAACAGAACACCAGCACCCAAAAACACGGTGGTTCAACTAAACAGGCAAACTTGGATTTTTGTACAGGATCGGCAGTGAAGGTATCTTCTGAATGTAAAGAGAAAAGCTGTAAAGCTGCCCTTTACATATCACGTCTTTTGGATGTGCGAGTTTGTTAATTCCAATCGAGTCGCAAAAATTCCGCGCATATTGGGAGTGCTTTTGCACGCACTCGCATGTAACTTGCGCACCCAATGAAAACTGAGAGTCTTATGACAAGAACTGACCGGTCATCTTCATACTTTGTATGGAATATACACATATAGATAGACTAATTACCTCAGACAAACACAGAACACCCAGACACTGCAGTGCTTTTTCATATTATGGATTTCAATCGTTACAGGTATTCAGTTTTGATCTAAATGGTTTTTATGTTATCAGAGGTTTGAAACAAGTGAATGATAAGAGAATTGAAAGTTTTGGGCGAACTCTTTAAGTTTTTGAATATGTCAAGCTGCAGTGATCAACCCATTTTAATGTTTTTCAGTGAATATTATTTTACTAAAAGAGCTGCAGTTTATTTTGTATTTTGAAAGGTATATTTAATGTGTTTTAAAAGTAACTACGAAGTAAATTAAAAAATAATCTGAATTCCTTTTTACATTAAGTAATTAGTAATGTAATCAGATAACAATTTTTCAGTAGTAATCAGCAATTTGGAATCTACAGCAACTTACCCAACATTGGCTGCTTTGGTTCTTGACTAAAAATGAAAATAAAAACAATATTCTGCATAAAAACAACAACTTCCTATGCCTCTTCATGTTGAACTGCTTAATGCCTCACTAGTAAGTTGCTTTGGACAAAAATGTCTGCTTAATGTGTGAATGTGAATGTCAATTAATATTATATCAATATTATATTTGTAAATTGCAATGCACAGATGTTCAGCATTCTTGCTTATGTGATGTGACTTAGCTATATCACATCTTAAAAAATATAAACTTATTTGCATTTAATACAAATTTTTTTTGCTTTCAAATATTGAATCATAGCGTCATTCTAACATTACAATATGTCTAATCATGCAGTGAATGCTTTTGCACTCTCAAGATGGGATTTTTCTATTTCAAAGTCAGAGACATGTGACAGGAATGTTATTTAGAGAATTGTTTTCATAACAGCCATATGGTTATATTATTCTAAAAAGATACAGCTCACATTTCTCTTTATGTTTCATTCTTACAACTTCTAATACAAATTTTAAACAGGTCATAAAACAGCTGGAATCTTAAGATCCTAATTTATGGTTTTTGTCATGTTAATTACCTTCTTTTAAATTAAACCATCAGGAAATGTAAACCAGTGCAAACAAAGAATGCTTCAGGACATCTGTAATTTGGTTTATTTGACACAAAATGACATTCTTTTTTGTTTAGGCCTCACAAACCTGTTTGGTCCTCCAAGTAGCGTGAGAGCCATCTGACTCGCACATACACCCGTCATCTCAAGCCTGCGCTCCAGAGAGAGACCGTGACTTTCTGCTGCAGCTAACAAACGCTTGTGCAACTCGAAGGAGATGCTGGGTACCACAAGACCTGAATCTAGGGAGAAAATAAATGGCATGAATTCTAATATTTGAAGACAATATACCAATATAGCTATTTAATTTATGCGCAAAGTCAACTTTGCCAAAAAACGTCACTAATTGAAAGCACTAAAACAAACATGACCACAAACCAACAGGAGTTCAAGCCCTTTCTGATATCTCCACTATAGTAACTACACACCTTACTGCTTATTGACTGCAAGTGTGTTTTGAGACAATTTGTTCAAAAGTATTAACATTTTAGTAGCGGATAAAGCGGATTTTAAGTAAAGGATTTTGTTTTGTTGTTGTATTTGTTTTTATTCATATTATGTATTTTTAAGTTTTTATTATTAATTTTCTTCCTTGAGTAGACTTTGTCTTTATTCACAAAACCTATTAAGATACCTTGTGGTAAGGTATGAATCTAAATATTCCTTAAAACTATTAATTTTCTACATTTGAATGTGTTTAGACTCCATAAGGTTTTCATTATTTAATTTGCATAATGTGCATTGTATTTATCTTTGCTTTATGTTTATTATATTTTATGCAGATACACTGCCCTACAAAATCATCCTAATGAACCTAAATTACACTTTCTTTGAAATTAGAGCTATTTAATCACTCTGGTGCAATTGTATCCATATTACATATCGCAGAAAAACTAAATTTTGCAACGCCATTTTTTTCTTATAGTGCAGCTCTGATTCTTACCAGTGCTATATTCTTTTGATCCATTCTGTGGAACTGTGATCTGTCTGTAAACGACAGGTTTGGCCTCAAGGATGTTCTCATCGTGCCGGTATCTGGATGGTGTTTGTTCTCCAGGTGTCCCTCGAGATCTCGCACCGTTTCCTCGCCGTTCTGACGATTCGATTTGCGAGAACACTGCAGCCTTGTCGAACAGCGCCAGGTTCCCTTCAAAGTCAAAGTCCTCATCGAGAACATCGTCCATTCCATCCCCAAAACATTCATCGTCTTTGTTCTTCATGTGACCGCCATTCTTGAGTCCGTTCTTTTTCGGTGTGGCCTGATTTGGACCTCTGCAACTAGACGACCCTGGAAACAAAAATAAAGTGGCCATTTATAACAATCTGAAAACAAATGCAATAAAACCAAGAATTTGCGATTTGCTGATCATCTTTACATTTTGTTTAAGTGACAAAAGTCTAAAGAAACAGATTTTTGTTTTGATGCCTGCTACACACTCCAAAAACATTGGGAAAGAGGTAAAATACAAGTTAAAGGGTCACAGAATATCCAAACGAAACATTTTGAAGCAGTCCATAATAAGCAGGTCAATTGGTGATATACATTGCATCTGCAAAGTATTCATAGCGCTTCACTTTTTCCACATTTTTTATACTATAGCTCAATTCCAAAATGAATTAAATTCATTTATTTTCTCAACATTCTGCACACAATACCTCATAATGACAATGTAAAAAAAGTTTTTGAAATTGTTGCAAATTTATTACAAATAAAAAACCTAAAAAATCAAGTTCAAAACAATTCACACTCAATACTTTGTTGATGCACCTTTGGCAGCAAGTACAGCCTCAAGTCTTTTTGAATATGATGCCACAAGCTTGGCACACCTGTATTTTGGGAATTTTTGCCCTTTTCTCTTTGCAGTACCTCTCAAGCTCTATCAGGCTTGATAGAAAGTGATGGTGTACAGCCATTTTAAGATCTCTCCAGAGATGTTCAACAGGATTGGGCTCTGGCTGGGTCACTCAAGGACAGTCACAGAGTTGTTGTAAAGCCAATCCATTGATATTTTGGCAGTTTGCATACATGAATACTTTACGGATGCACTGCATTAAGGCTACATGTTGGGTATAAAATAAGCATCTCAGTATTTGCAAGTAAAGCAGGATCATGGATCATCACTTAGTGCCAAAAGCCATGTGAGAATTTCCAAACAAAACCAAAATCACATTTATCAATGCAAAATCACAGCCAATTATAGTCAACTGCCACATTTAATGTTGTGAAAACATTGAGTAAATACAAATAAATATCAATCTGTGTCAACAATGCAGGAACCCACAGCTGAATGTGCTCCAGCTTAGAGCCTTAGATTGCACTGCATATAAAAAAAACTGTCATGTTGTGCTGTTAAATAAAGCTTAGCAGAACTTCAGAGACATCTCTGCCACTGCTGCATCAAGAAATGCTACTTGACTTGTTGTTTATGCTAAAAGCAGTATAGAAAACCAGAGCGGATTTCAGATCATCAAGAACACAATCTCAACTTAGAGACTTGAATCTCAAACATCTGTTTTTTTCCAGAAACAAGCTTTAAATATGGACTCGTCTGTAAATGTAAAAGTAATTCATAGTTCAGGAATCAGCAAAGAAATGTGCGCAAAAGTACCATTGACATGGAGACATATATTGGCAGAATACAGAGTCATATACCACCATCAGGATAATGTTTTTCATGGTAAGTGTATGGTTATTAGATCAAGTCTCATCCTGGTTCACTGTGCTAAAAAACAGTGTGGTTTGGCTGGCCTCCCTGATGTCCAGATCAAAAATGAATAAGTAATCATGAAAAGGAAAAACAGATAATGACAACAACTGACTGTTAAGCATCTCAAGTTTTATATTATGGCAGATTGGGCAAAACTTAGGGCTGGGCGATTTTGCCTAAAATCAAAATCTTGATTAATTTAACATTTTTAATTGGATTACGAATGTTTTATATATTTATTTTATGTTTTTTTGCCCTCATAATTCAATGACAGGTTTTGCACAGTAAATATGCTCACATCTTACAACTGACAGATTTTTGAATGTAGAGTGGATTACTTAATTTAAAAATTATAACACACAGAAGCGAAACACACACTATCTACTATATATAATCTACTATCCATGATTATTTATTGAACATCAACACTGAACAACTAAAAATAAAACACACATTGCCTAAAATGTGCCATCCACCCTTGTCACCACTACCAAAACAAAGTAATTGAAAATTTTACCTGGAATTATAGGATCTGATTGTCGATTTCGATTACTTTTTGATTAATCGCCCAGCCCTAGCAAAACCTTTTGCTTGTAAAACTTGGAGTGTGTTGCAGGCATTGAAATCAAAATTAGCTTATATTTCCAGAATATAACTCATTTGCTCTCTGAAATTATTAGAAATCTTTTCTAAGTACATTTTGTCAATTAAATAACAGTTAAAGATAATAAGCAAATCACATATTCTTGATTTTATAGCATTTTTAAAAATGTCTCAACTTTTCTGGAATTTGAGTTGTAGTTTATAGAGAAAAAATGTGTTAGAGAAAAAAATATAACTTACATTACCAGTTAAAGGGCACATAGTTTACCCCATTTTATGATTTAATATTAGTATTAAGGTTCTTCTGAGTGTGCCAGTTTAGGTTCAGTTCAACACACAGTTCAGATTTCTTTATTATAATGTGTTAAAAAGTGTCATGTTGGGGGCGTGTACACAGCTCGCTGTTTTAGGGGCGTGTTGCTTCACATGAAAATTAGTTTCGGCTTCCCGCCCAATGTAACAAGGGGGCGGAGCCAAGAGCTCACCAGCTCTGTGTTTGCAACAGACAGGCAGACAGAGAGAAGGTAAGCTACATGAGAGGATCAGCATTCAGCTGTACATGTAAGACTCGGACACAGACCAAGCAGAGAGTACAAAATCTCTTTGTAAAGAGTCTTTGTATAGTTTTACAGCCAACTGTGAATTAGTTTTAAGTGCCGAGCTTGTACACCTAGACTAATAACCACGCATACTGAATTAACTTAGACTGAGGCACCGGATGTGCAGCTCGAAGCCACGCACGGCACACCAGTGACCCCAACAGAAACCCAGGCCCAGAATTTCAAAATTCATGGCGCTGTGTCAACGTCGCACCACGAAGAGCGGAGCTTCTGATGTGCGACCTGCAGGCAAGTTTGTTATTTTATTTCCAATGGAGAGACACGCACATGAGGCAACGCGCTTGCACTTTTCCAGCTGCACCTAGTTAAGATCACAGGGAGCTTCTGTGAACGCGAGAAATGCAAACTGCTGAAGTTTAAGGTAGACGTAATGAAAAGTACACGTCTGCAAACCCACCTAAAAGTACAACCAATAATTCCAATTAGAGCGATAATGTGGAGAACATTGTGTTGAGCCCAATGAGCCTTGCATCTAAAAATAGAGCCAGGATGCTCCTTTAAGATATCGCTTTGACTCGCGCTGAAAATGGCGGATGTGAAACTACAAATGGAGGATTAGGTGACGCGTGCCAGTCAATCAATATTGGTGGGCGGGAGGACCACACTCCTACATCAAGTCGCGGTCGTCTGAAAACCGCTCTAATTGGTCCACCAATTTTATGTTGTTAAATTACAAAAAAAAAGCACTGGGTGTGTTTATATCACCCCAATATGACTGTCTATACACTATACTTACACACATGTCTGTCCAAACAGCTTGAAAAGTAGATTTTTTTTACCATAGGTGCCCTTTAAGACTAATGAAAAAGAATTTCTAATGGCTCTAAAACTGCATTTATTTGATTAGAAATTGTAAAAATGTGATTTAAAAAGGAAATGTTAAAAAAAATGTGTTTACTAGTCACTAGTCTAATTTTCAGTGTCATATTATCCTAAAATTATCCTTCTAATTTTTTTGTTTAGATAAGATCAATTATTATTTGTTTTCAATTACTAATGTTTCTTTTTAATCAATGCTGAAAACTATTTTTACTGCTATTCTAAGGAAAATTCAGGATTCTTTGAATTGCATATCCAAATGAACATTTTATATAAAAAAACGTAAATCCTTTGTTACATTACAATTCTTTACTGTCTCTTATGATATATTTTATGGATCCTTGCTTAAAACAAAGTAATGTTTTTTCTTCTTTTTTTTTTCTCCATATAAAACCTTCTTGTCCCAAACTACTAAATGAAACTGAATCACAGTTTCCACAAAGCAGCAGCAAAAACAATTGCCACTTTAATAACAAATGTTTCTTAAGCACTAAATAAGATTTCTAAAGGATCACAATCAATTTATTTTTTTATTTGTAAAAAAATCCTAAAGGAGGCAACACCAAAGCTCCAAAAATATCATTTTATTAAATTAAAAAAGGCTCTCACAAAGCATGTGACGTTTCTGATGTGCTTGAAACGTCACACACTTTGTCAGAGCCTTTTTAAGTCAAAACATTTATATTTTTGGAGCTTTGGTGTCACTGCCTTTATGCATTTTTTTAACATATTAAAAATAAAAATGATAGTGATCCTTCAGAAATCATTTAGCACTTTTTGTTTGGCTGAGCACCCATTTAGATTGATGTGCCTGATTTTTTTTTCAATTAAGTTACAATTTGTAATAGGTCTAATAATATCCCTTAACAATAAATGATCATCTTTTACAATGTTACGGTTTTAACTGTATATTCACTATATAGAATCATATACATAAAGGCTGAAGTTTAACTAAATAGATATACGACTAAGAAGACTCACATGAGTTGTGTCTTCGTCTAAAGCCTTTACCCTGTACAGCCATATCTATGTGACGTTCACCGTAACTCTTGGAATAATGTGGCACTGGCGAAACTCCTCCTTCCTGCAGTCTGGGTTCAGCTTTATTAGGTACCATCACAGGAGCACTGTTCACCGGGGCGCCACCACCACCACCCCCACCCTTGTCCTTGCGTCCAACGTGCGGCATCAAGGTGATGGAGCTGGACTCTGGACCATTCTGCTTGGAAACTTCAATAGAATTTTTGGAGATCTCTAAAATTTTGAGATCTTTTATGTCCATGGCACTGTGGAGGAAGAAGGAAATATATAGTAATATAGTATATGGTACACAAAGATTAATTATCCTGTTTTAAGCCGAGTAACATTTCATGTAGTATATAATGCAACTCACTCAATTGCATCAAGCAATATTTGAAACATGCTTTTGACAACAGTGTCGGACCAACGCCCAAAACACACTTGTAGCCAATCAGTACAGTAACTAATAACCTTTTTTTAACCAGGTAAGTCAACTAAGAACCAGTTCTCATTTACAATGAAGACCTGACCAAGAGGGAAGATACAGTACAAAGCAGCAGGAACACAATACAATAACAATTTCACAAATGCAGATAATAACATAAAACCAACGAAACAAAAAAAAACAAGCACAGTGATCTTGTAATATTTATTGGAGTTAAAGATTTTTAAAAGATGGAAGTGAAACGAAAGTGCTGAGCTTTAAGGTCTCCTGCAGATGATTCCAAGCATCAGCAGAAGAAAACTGAGAAGAGTTGCGACCAAATGAAGTGCGAACGTTGAGTATGCAAAGGTTAATAAAACTATTAGAGCGCAGATTTCGACATGTTTCCTGAATTTAAGAAGTGACTGTAAATAAATATAGTGGTGTTTTTCCCAATAAGAGTTTTGAAAATGAACAGAAACCAATGAATTTGTTAAATTTGAAGCAAAGAATAATTCGGTAAAGAATACAGCTGACAGTGATGAATATTAAATGGCGCAAGAGTAACAAAACTATTTGCTGCATAGTAAATAACATTCAGTTTAAGAAGAAGAGTTTTTGAAGCTCATCTGTAAATTAAATCCCCATAATCCAGAATTGGTAATACTGTTAATTTGAGCTGCTTTGAGGAATGTGTAAAGGAGGATTTGTTTCTGTAAAGAAAAACCAATCCAGGCTTTAACCTTTTACATGCTTTCTGTCAGCTTTTTTTTAAAATAAATTTGTATTTTTGGAGATTTGGTGTTGCCGCCTTTTATTAATATTTAATTTGCACCTTTTGCGTTTTTTTGGCTGAGCACCCAGTTAAGAGGGATGTGCGTGCTTTTGTAAAATTTTTTAAAAAGTAGAAGTACTGACTACACTTTTGTAATCAAGTAAAAGTAAAAAAGTAGCGCCTCAAAAATTTACAAAAGCAAAAAAGTAAAAAGTACCCGTTTCAACCACAGTCGAATGACATGCGGTATAGGTGAATAATAGGTAACTAAACTGGCAGTAATGTATAAGTTTCCCAGTGCTGGGTTGCCGCTGGAAGAGTATCCACTGTGTAAAACATATGCTGGAATAATTAGTGGTTCATTCCGCTGTGGCGACCCTGTATAATTCAGCAACTAAGTTTAAGGATAGTAAGTACGATAAAAAGCAATTAGTCCTCACATCCTATCGATACATTAATAAACTAACTTACATTTCTAATTCTTATGTAAAATTTTTGTTGCCAATTTTATGAAAGCAGCCAAGCAGCATCACACCCTGTAATAGGGTATGTGCCGAGCTGGTGTTTTTATTATACTGATAAACTTAAGGTGACCTGTTATTGTGATTTTTTTTTTCAACGTATATGGTTCCTTTTACAGCATCGATGATGTAATGTAATTAAAATACATTCAGTTAAATAAACTTTGGCATTAATTTAGTTGATCAAGCTTAAAAGGAGACAAAAAGCCGTTTACTCGCACGTGCCCATCAGAATCGGCCGGCTAGCGCAGAAGCTCCATTGAATATACTGGGGTAAAATAAATGCTCATGTTATGAAGGCATGGCGGGGAAAAATTTAATTTAATGCAGTGCTTCTAGTACAATCTGAGACCCACTTTATATAGGATATCACTCAGCCAGTGTAGATGGCTGATTTTTAAAGAAAACTGACCTTAAATGCGCCGATTTTTGCATTGGCATACAATTGACCGGAAGCGTTTAACCCAGGTTACTGGCAAATTCAAAGTCCTATTAGCATGCTTCGGCATATACCCTATACTTTGCAACAACATTGCTCTAAAAGTCAGCTCATGTATGATCATCCTGACTCAAATTCACAGCGTTCATCATGTACTTTTGTGGCTGTTAGATCAAAAACATCAGCTGCTATTTATGTTCATACACTCTAAAATAATTCTGTAGGTCTGTATATCTTTATAAATAATTACATTTTACACAGCATTCTGTCCTATATATATATATATATATATATATATATATATATATATATATATATATATATATATATATATATATAAATATATATATACACATATATACCAGGCTCATCATATTTGACTGCAAATGATTTTTTTCCATTAGGCTAAAGCTGCTTTATTCTCTTTAAAAAGTAGTTCTCATACATAACCTGTTAATTCAGTGTTTTTATAAAGTAAATAAAGGAAACAAATGCATAAGTATTTTTTTTTTAATAAAGTGTTTGATTGTTTTAGTACTAAATGTACAAATCTTTACAAAAAAATCACTATATTTCCCTGTATTACAATGAAAGACCAGAGAAATCCTGTACAATATGATCGGAAGGTGACAAAAGGGTTAAGCATTTTTAAACAGATATCTGTGTAAAAAAATGTAAGAAGTAAAAGTAAAAAGTTGTCAGAAAAAACATGTAGTGGAGTAAAGTACTGATATCAGAAAAATCTACTTAAGTACAGTAACGAATGTATTTGTACTTTGTTACTTCCCATCTCCGGAAGTAAGCGTCTATTCACACCACTAATTCATATAAAAGGAAAGGTTTTGTAATGTTTTTAAATAGCATAACGAGGCTTTTTGACTTCTTTTTAACTTTTCACTTCCAAAATGATTGGTTAACACTGACTTCCAAAGTTTCCCTCTGCTATAAGTCAATAACGACCACATTATTATTATTTTCAAATTAACTTAATTTGTGTTTAACAGAAAAAGGGAACTTATGCAGGTTTAGAAAAAAAGAGAGGTTGAATAAATGATTCTTATATATTCATTAACAAAAATCTAACAAACATTAACAAAATTCTACAACTCAAATTACATAAAGGGATTTCAAAATACCACACAAGTGTGGCTTAAGACAAATGAGACGAAAGTATCCATCCTAAAAACATCAGTAAAAATGATAAAAGACATAATAACACAGCTCTCTTTTATAATTTACCTGAAGGTAACCTCAGGCACAGTGCATTTGACTCCATTGTGGAAGGGGTTTCTGAGAGAGATGGTCTGACTGGTCTGATCCACTGAAGAAATCTCCCCTTGGTAGACTCCTAGAGTTGGTCCACAATGGATTGAAACAAGATTGCCAACCCAGTCTAATGCCATTTTGACCAGCTGAAATGAGATTCAAAGACGCTTTGTTAGTTGTCATGATGGTTTTAAATATACAGGTAACTCTTGAAGCGTTATTGGGCGTCTGAAGCATGAATACGAAGAATGTTTTGGAAGAATAAGTATTGAACGTTAGAAAGGAATATGCTAACGTTAGCCAGCTACATGTACAGCACGCAACGGGCTTATAAGCTAATTTTTCGGTTTTATAAAAATTGTAAAGTGAGTTTCTCACCTGTTTTCAAGGGCAAAACCTTTCAATTATACGGATAAGTTGTGTACTGTGATAGATTTGGATAAACTCTTCTAAAGAGCTCGACTACGCGATCGGCTTCTTCTATGAAAGACTGAGTTGACTGAGTGAGGATCAGATTTGAATCTGTATTTACTGCCGCTTACTGGGCAACCAACGAACTACATTGAGTTGCTGAAGAAGGCAGATATTTTTTTTTTAAACTGTTAAATGATTATTATTCATTCATTTTCTTTTCTTTTCTTGGTCCCCTTATTAATCTTGGGTCGCCACAGCGGAATAAACCACCTACTTATTCAGCATATGCTTCATGCAGCGAATGCCCTTCCAGCTGCAACCCAACACTGGATTATTTTTAACAATTTATAACTTGTAGTTATTTCTCTCAGAATATTTTTACATTCTAAAATAACACATTTATATATTATTATGGTTGTGTTCATTAAGAAATTTAAATCCCCATGAAATTAAAACTTATCAAATGATTTTATTAGCTCACATTGCTAGTTTTGCGGTGAACAATTCATCTGTGCATGTCATTAAGAAAAGAAAAAAAAAGTAATTTGTCATTTTTTATCCCGTTTCTCTAGGAACTACGTCACATTACAAAAAAAAGCTTAAATCGCAGCTTCTGGTTCATGGGGACTAAATTTTTTTAAACTGATTTTTAAAAAAGGTTGTCACTCACTCACTTTCCTTGTTTCTTTATTTGCCACAGCGGAATGAACCACCAATTACTCTGGCATATGTTTTACTCTTGCTGCCGCAACCCAGCCCTGAGAGTGTAACTCATGCAGTGCCCTGAGAATGTCACTTAAAAAAAACTAATTTAAATTTGAATAAATACTAAAAATAGAATTAAAATAGCAAGATACGCTTGTGATTTTGTTTCTTGTAAAATTGTTTTGCATAAAATGTAATTTCTACTATACTAGATGTCAACGGGTGTATTGAGATCATAATGCTGAAAATCTGTGTATACACAAATACAAAAATGTCAAATAATCTTGTTTAAGAATTAATTTTCTTTTCGACCTAGTCCCCTCATCAATCCGGGGTCGCCACAGCGGAACGAACCGCCAACTTATCCAGCACGTTTTTACACAGCGGATGCCCTTTCAGACGCAACCCATCTCTGGGAAACATCCACACACACTCATTCACACACACTCATACACTATGGACAATTTAGCCTACCGAATTCACCTGTACCGCACATCTTTGGATTGTGGTGGAAACCGGAGCACCCGGAGGAAACTCACGCGAACGCAGGGGGAACATGCAAACTCTGGCTTTATACTCTTTATACTCTTTATACTGGCTAAAAATAAAAGGTTAAATTGTGTATGCAGTTGAAGTCAGAATTATTAGCCCCCCTTTGATTTTTTTTTTCTTTTTAAATATTTCCCAAATGATGTTTAACAGAACAAGGCCATTTTCACAGTATGTCTGATAATATTTTTTCTTCTGCAGAAAGTCTTATTTGCTTTATTTCTGCTAGATTAAAAGTAGTTATTATTTTTTTACAAACCATTTTAAGGTCAAAATTATTAGCCCTTTTAAACTATGTACTTTTGATAGTCTACAGAACAAACCATCATTATACAATAACTTAACTAATTATCCTAACCTTCTTAAGTTAAGCCTTTAAATGTCACTGTAAGCTGCATAGAAGTGTATTAAAAAATATCTAGTGAAATATTATTTACTGTCATCATGGCAAAGATAAAATAAATCAGTTATTAGAAATGAGTTATTAAAATTATTATGTTTAGAAATGTGTTGAACAAATCTTCTCTCTGTTAAACAGAAATTGAGGGGAAAAAATAAACAGGGGGGTCTAATAAATCAAGGGGGCTAATAATTCTGACTTCAACTGTACATTATGTATAATGGTAGTGTTCAGTGACAAGATCCATTTAGAAATAATTCTGTAATGCCAAACATTATACATTTCAGAAATCAATGCCATACAGCTTTATTAACTTATTAAAATAAGTTAAAGTAACAAAATATTGTTGACTTTTGTCATATCATTTTTACATTGTGTATAATAAACTGAAATCGAATAATATAATAAGCAATCTTTAAACAATATATACTATTAATACAAATAAGTTATTATGCAAATGTATATTTTTACATAATTAAAATGTATTAAAATCAATTAATAAAAACGTATTTCTTAAAAATGTAATAATACAGTTTATATATAACGCCATTCATATTAATAGGTTTAGAAAATGCTTAAATAAACTGAATAAATTACTTCCACTATTCATAATAACATTTATATTTATAAATAGAAACTAATATTTACCGAAATATAAATACAGGCCTAAGATATGATACATATATATATATGTATGTATGTATGTATGTATGTATGTATGTATGTATATATGTATGTATATATATATATATATATATATATATATATATATATATATATATATATTCATAATATCCATCTCATGTGGTGCATATAGTACTGAAGTCATTTTGGGATACTGTATTCTTATTTTATATTGTATGTTAAAACAAATTAAAACAATATTTTAAAGCCCTTTTTATTTATGTATTTATTTATTTGTTTTTATTGCAATTTTAGAACACAGAACATACAAAGGCAATAAAAACATTATGTTTACATAAAAATAAATACAACATAAAACAAAAAGAAAAAATATACAATTATTCAAAGACAGCATTTAAGGCTTTAAGATAATTAACAGTTCTTTTTGTTTGGTATTTTTTGTTTCTTTTATTGTCCGTGTCCTATTTCTATTTTTAAGTGAGTAAAATTAGGTTTTTCCACTGCACATGTACATTTATGAATAAAAATATTTCCATATATAATTAGCAAATTAACAATATACCACATTACAAAGTCGACAGTATTCTCATATAAAGAATAAAGAATCTTTTTCTTTGAATTGAAAAGCAATATTCATAACGTTTACCAAAAAAATAGAAAAGATAACACCAAAACAACTGTGTATAAATACAACCATAACATAAATGAGCAATACTCTCTTCCTTATCATCACAGAAAGCGCATTATAAATCTACATTTCATTTTAAAGCCCTTTTAAACCTCTTTCTGTCTTTCTCAACATCCAATCAACGCTAAGAAAACCCTCTAGATGCCGCCTCCCAAATGCGTCACGATCTCTCAGCGATCATATGACAACACCACAACAAAAATGTCTGCCTGCATCTCCGTCCAGTAAATGTATGATCGTTTTAGGAATACAATAAAAGCCTGCATACATGCAAAACCTCCTGCATCAGACTGCGACGCTTTAGAAACAAACAAAGTCAGACGAAAACTAGTCAGAAAGCGAATATTTTAGCACGTAAGCGATTACACTCGTCTGTATCGTTTTATTATTAGCATAACTCAATAAATCTCGTGCTTTGCTCTCGAAAAAGTTCAAATGGAGCCCACAGCTTCGGGAATATTCTGTAACAGGATGCTCAGTATGGTGAACTCTGAGGATGTGAACGCCATCATTCAAGCCCAGAGACATATGTGAGTATCCCTGTCTAGTGAAATTGAGGTAAAATTCGGATTATATTCACACATCCAGACTTTCTCCTTAACAGTATAACTTCAGAAAAGTGTCGTTTTCAAATTCTTAATAGTGAAATCATATTAGCAGCCAATGACTATCAAAATGCAACATTGTTCACAGTCAAATCAATGGTGCTAATGTTGTTTTCAAGTCACACCAAAGTCCCTGTAAGGCATATTGTATTCTATGTATTCTATAGTCTTTGTGATTTCATATAATTCATTTTCTTGTCGGCTTAGTCCCTTTAATAATCCGGGGTCACCATAGCGGAATGAACCGCCAACTTATCCAGCAAGTTTTTACGCAGTGGATGCCCTTCCAGCCACAACCCATCTTTGGGAAACATCCACACAAACATTTACACACTCATACAATACGGACAATTTAGCCTACCCTATTCACCTGTACCGCATGTCTTTGGACTGTGGGGGAAACCGGAGCATCCGGAGGAAACCCACGCGAAGGCAGGGAGAACATACAAACTCCACACAGAAATGCCAACTGAGCCGAGGTTCGAACCAGCGACCCAGAGACCTTCTTGCTGTGAGGCAACAGCACTACCTATTGCGCCACTGCCTCGCCCTGATTCCTTATCGATTATTTAAATTACCATGGTAAACATAAGGAAATTGAGGTAAAGTTGGTTTTATATTTGAACATTCTTTCAGTGATCACTTGTGATATGGTCCCTATATTGTTTACCATGGTACTGGTAAAACATTGGGTCTGAAATCCTGTGTAAGAATGACTTCAAAACAACATAACCACTATTTATTTGACTATAAACAACCTAGTCTGATGCTCATTGACTGCTAATATGTTTCCACTATTTAGTATTCGCAAAGAGTAAGTTTCTGAAATTATATTATTAAAGAGAAAGTCTGAATATAAAACCAACTTTACCTCAAAATATAGGAAGAATGTCACAAGTTGAATTTAAAACCAACTTTAACGTTACCTAAATTCTAGTAAAGTACCTAAAAAGGAAGCTGTTTAAAACCTGTTTTGATGCATGTCCTACAGGCTGGACCGCTTTGAGAAAACCAATGAGATGCTGATCAACTTCAACGGCTTGTCCAATGTGCGCTTACAGCAGATGAATGAACACTTTCTGATGCACACCAGGACTTTGATAGAGATGAAGAAAGACTTGGACAGCATCTTCAGAAGAATAAGGTGTTATGTTTGCAAATTAAGATTGAATTCAGTGATGTTCAGCAATGAGTGTGTTACCATATTTTACTATTTTGTCATTTAAAATGCCATTAAAGTAACTTTTCACAAATTAAACTCAACAAATTAGTTGAGTAATATTACATTGTAATTCAGTACATTATTTAAGTGTAAATAGAAAATGTACTCTAGTTTTCACCTGTGCATAGGGGAGAGCGGGGCACAAAGTAACACTTTTTGGTTTTGGCCAAATAATGAACAAAGTAATGGAGTTAGACAAACCATCAGAATTCATACGGTCATAGAAAACCTGGAAAAGTCATGGTATTTTGACATGCCTTTTTTCAGGCTTG